AATACGTGAAGACGGAATTTTTGGAATGGATTAATATCCAAGGAGGTTGGGTAAGTCACTTTTTTGTATTTACAATCGTTGATAAAAACGTTTAATTCGTGTCTATATATAGTATTATCATCAATAATTACTTAAAAAATTGAATCTTTTTCCAACTCTATAGGCCTATATATACATTTTTTTTCAGAACAATTTCGATCAATCGTATACTCAACACAAAACGATAGCAGAAATTCCTCTAATGAACGTTTCGTTAAGGATAGCGTTAAGCCTAGCAGCAACTTTGTATCTATACAACACATTCTGTTAAGGATGATATGTGTGAATTATGTGTATATCGGCACACACTTGTTCAGGATGTTTCTTTTGCCAGCCGTCAAATGGTGTATAAAATACCTACAGGAACTTTGCTGGTGAACTTTACAATAAAGTTGAATCCGGTCCAGAGTCAGAAGAAAATGGCAATGGGAAAACCACACAGAAATATATTTCGATGTTCTTGTAGGACTAGAGTTAACTAGGTAATCTGGAATACCGGTATTTGTTTTCATGCAAAATTTGATCAAATCAAATAACGTTACCTTTTATTCTACAATGAGAAACGTTATGCCAGTAATCGAGCATCACAACGCGAGAAGGAATTCCTGGAAGAACGTTTGATAAACGAACACTTAATAAATGAATTTATAAATTATATGATGATCTGTATAATTATAAGTTTGAAACAAAATAAATGAAAAGCTTTCTTGCTTATTGTTGAAACATATATATGACTCTTTTTTTTTAAAATTTACTATTAAATTATTATTAAATTGTGCACATGTTTGATAATTAATTGTGGTTTTTAATAGGTTATTACTTTCTATTTGACCTGTCTCTTATGCACATCTAGATGTGTATAAGAGACAGGGTATTGGGAGACCGTATGAGCTCTATTCCACCCCCTGTAAGGTATTTAAAGGTACATTTAGCAGGTGAAACACACATTTCCGCGAGAGAGTGTTTTCTTTAAATAGCTTTAAATTGTATTCAACGCACTAAATTTAATCCAAATTAAGGTTAGGTAAGTACCAGGTGACCAGTTCAAACGTTTACTGTAGCATGTGAGTATATTTAAAGGTGCTGTGTGTTGTGATAACATAATTTCCGCGAGAGAGTGCTTTTTCTTTAAACAGTTTTAAGTTGTATTTAATGCACTATATTGTTCCATGTTAGTGTTAGATAGGTATTGGGAGACCGTATGAGCTCTATTCCATCCCCTGTAAGGTATTTAAAGGTACATTTAGCAGGTGAAACACACATTTCCGCGAGAGAGTGTTTTCTTTAAATAGCTTTAAATTGTATTCAACGCACAAAATTTAATCCAAATTAAGGTTATGTAAGTACCAGGTGACCAGTGCAAACGTTTACTGTAGCCTGTGAGTATATTTAAATGTGCTGTGTGTTGTGATAACATAATTTCCGCGAGAGAGTGCTTTTTCCTTTAAACAGTTTTAAGTTGTATTTAATGCACTATATTGTTCCATGTTAGTGTTAGATAGGTATTGGGAGACCGTATGAGCTCTATTCCACCCCCTGTAAGGTATTTAAAGGTACATTTAGCAGGTGAAACACACATTTCCGTGAGAGAGTGTTTTCTTTAAATAGCTTTAAATTGTATTCAATGCACTAAATTTAATCCAAATTAAGATTAGGTAAGTACCAGGTGACCAGTGCAAACGTTTACTGTAGACCGTGAGAGTATTTAAAGGTGCTGTGTGTTGTGATAAAATAATTTCCGCGAGAGAGTGCTTTTTCCTTTAAAGTTTTAAATCGTATTTAATGCACTATATTGTTCCATGTTAGTGTTAGATAGGTATTGGGAGACCGTATGAGCTCTTTTCCATCCTCTGTGAGGTATTTATATGTACATTTAGCAGGTAAAACACACATTTCCGCGAGAGATTGTTTTTTCCTTTAAACAGTTTTAAGTTGTATTAAATGCAATATTTTGTTCCATGTTAGTGTTAGATAGGTATTGGGAGACCGTATGAGCTCTATTCCATCCCCTGTAAGGTATTTAAAGGTACATTTAGCAGGTGGAAACACACATTTCCGCGAGAGAGTGTTTTCTTTAAATAGCTTTAAATTGTATTCAACGCACTAAATTTAATCCAAATTAAGGTTAGGTAAGTACCAGGTGACCAGTTCAAACGTTTACTATAGCCTGTGAGTATATTTAAAGGTGCTGTGTGTTGTGATAACATAATTTCAGCGAGAGAGTGCTTTTTCCTTTAAACAGTTTTAAGTTGTATTCTATATTGTTCCATGTTAGTGTTAGATATGGTATTGGGAGACCGTATGAGCTCTATTCCATCCCCTGTAAGGTATTTAAAGGTACATTTAGCAGGTGAAACACACATTTCCGCGAGAGAGTGTTTTCTTTAAATAGCTTTAAATTGTATTCAACGCACTAAATTTAATCCAAATTAAGGTTAGGTAAGTACCAAGTGACCAGTGCAACGTTTACTGTAGCCTGTGAGTATATTTAAAGGTGCTGTGTATTGTGATAACATAATTTCGGCGAGATTACCCTTCCCATCTTTGTAGAGACCATCGCTGAACATCAGCCCCTCTTGATCCACCAAATATCATTAGATAATCAGTGAAGCGAAGTCGGCCAAAGTATTGCCATATAATTAATATTCTAAACAAGTGGATGATCCAGGAATTCGAAATTGAGAGAGCCCCAGAGAGGGACTTTCACAGATGGAGAGTCTATACTACCTCAGTCCCACCATGGTTGGGGTTGAGGTGAGAAGATTAATGATTATGGCACCTCCAGATTGCAGGAAATGCCACTATTGGACGAATACATTTTTCTTTTTTGAAAAATTGGGAGGGGGAGGAGGGCACCTCCCCTTGAACCTGCAACTGTAAAAATAAAACTGAATATATTATTTTGTGATTAACATGGTCGTTTTATAATATATTTTATCCAATTATAAAACATACGATACACCTTTTTATCAGCCACACTCCCTGAAGTGGTACAGTATGTTCTACTTACATAGTGCATACTAAATACTATATTCTCTTAATTTCATTGTACTGTACTATTGTAATTAGAATGATTTCTCGCATGTGTTGCTTTTGTAGTGTGACACATCCTCGTCGAACATTTTGACTAGTGTTACTGTACAATTTTTTCTTTTTTGATATTTTAATGGACATAATTAGGTACTCAAATTATGCTAGTAATTGCAAGACATTAAAAAAAAAGGCACTATGGTATATTTCATCTAGATCTGTGCACGCGTCTGGATGGTTAATCAGCACAAATATTTTCTCCTTATGCACATCAATATGTGATTGCCGCTGCCGCCACCATCATCATCATCATCATCATCATCAATATTATTATTATTATTATTGTTATTGTTATTATTATTATTATTAATAATATTGTTATATATAGAGTTCTCCTGCAGGTTGCACCTTTGTTTTCAATCAGACGTTTGTTACCGTCCATTACGCCTGAATGACTTCATAATCTGGTCTAGAGCATGCTATCTGGAATAGGCATTTTAAAACCTAATAATTTACCATCAAAATGTACTAAAAACACAAAAGCTCGCATTATATTACTTATCGAACACACATTTATTTTAATCATCAACTAAAATTTACAAAGACAATCTAAGATGCAATATCTTACTGTAATCATTATATTAAAAATTGTATCACTGTAGTACTCTTTGCACAGAGACATATTATATACTGTAAAATCAGATGACAAGTATTTGAGGAACATATTTAATGAAAATGTAGGGGATTGCCTCCCGGTGTACGGCCTAATCACCCCCAGAAGGACCCCACTGGAAATAAGTCTTATTCTAGACTTTCGTGGGCTATGCTTGGTGTTTACATTGAATAAATCCAATCCAATCCAATCCAAAAAAGAAGTCGTAGGTTTACCCAAGATGCTTTATTTCTTGAACCCACTAGGGCTCCTACAGGGCCCTAAACGCATGTAGATGTGTTAGTACAATAAACATATGGAAAAAGAGTGGTGGGAAATGTCATTTATTTTGGCTGCAGACTAAAATATTATAAAATTAAATTTAGACATAAGAAATGCAAATGTACTTTTTCAGGAGGTAAAGACCCAAGAATTAAACTGATTGCAGCGGCCTACTTGTAATTTTACTTCAACTAGGCGAGACTTTTTTATACCTTGTTTCGCAAATTCATCTCTCGCACAAACTGATGATGTCAAATAAAAAGAAAATATTCTTTTTGTTCAATTAGTACACCCGCTGCCACGAACAATGGAAATTCCAGAAAAAAATACCTAGGTGTTTTTAAATTTTTTTATTACGCCCGCAAATGTGTGTCTAATCATACAGCATTCTTTATATTCCTACAGTAGATAGTAATGACAAACTGTTACTTTTCTACAAAGGAAAATGCCTGCATGTAGAGGCAGCCTAATAAATGTGTAAGAAAATGTTCTGAGTTCTGCTAAATTAAATTGTAAAACAGGTTTTGTTATTGTGGCATTTGTGTCAAATTCCAATATTTAAAAAATAATAATATTGGGCATTAACATTGCACTTCAATCAAAAAACAATATTGGGAACATATAAAACTTTCGACTACTTTTTAAAGACAATGTATCATTTTTCAATCTAAACAAATTTGTATTGATGCCTAGACCAGTAAACAAAAGTCAAGCTTATTATTTATTGACTTTTCATTTGGACACTAAGGTATTAGATATTAAGACTTACTGATTGTTTACTTTTATTGATTACTTTTTTACTTGTACTGATCAGATACTACGTTCTGCAAAAAAACTATCTGATTTATGTACTGTGCAAAAACATGATATAAATGAAATGCTTTCACTGTATAATAATATTATCAAAATATTTTACCATTTTTTGGTTTATAAATGTGCCTCCCACAATAGGATAGTTTATTGTTTATATTGTACATACAGTAAAATATGTATAAAACTTGTATCGGTAACTTTGTGCACTCAATATCAGATGAAATTTAGAGAACTGGTCCAAAAACTGCTATTCTAGCCTATTTGTACATGTCTCTTTGTTTAAATGCCTGATAAAAAGGCACCTGTGAAAAATGTTAACACAGAAGCTTACTGATTTAAAATGTGATTACAAAATTAATTCAGGATGAAAATGTACAGTGTAGGTACAGCAAAAACAAGCTTGTTATGGACTGCTGGAATTGGCTGCCATATAAAATCCAACGACCTGAAACAAATAAAAATATAAGTTTGGTTACTTTGCCTGAATAAATACAATTTATTGAATGTAAACAGCAAATTTTCACATCAATTTTCTGTATTTCTTAATGAAAGGTATTTTGCCTCCATTATCTCATCACACTTAATGGCTTACTGTTCTCTCCAGTTTTCAAAAAGAAAACTGGAGAGAGGACATTGAAAGTAAGGCCTCACTCACCAACTATTCATTACTTAAAGATACAATTAAATTAGAAAATTATCTATTAGATAAATTGGATTTCGAAGGTGTATCATTGAAATGACAGCCAATACATTGCCCCTTGATAGTAGAATTTCTAGATGGTCTGAAGACAAGAATGGCTTATGTACTCTTTGCAATACAAATAATGAAGAAGACATAAGACACTTCTTATTCTCTTGTCCCGCTCTCCAAAACATACGTTTATAGGAGTTAAATAAACTTGAATATAAATTAAGTAGTCATAACATCGATGTTTGGGATCAATTTTTAAGTGCTAATATTGATATTAAATTAAGCCACGTCCTAGGCTCCACTGCTCTTTCCATGACAAATGAAGTAGAGAAATACTTTTATGAATTTTGTAAAAGTTATGGAAAACGAGTGTGGAGAAAAAGATCTGAATTGAAGCACTTGCAAACTTTATCGTAGATTAAGTATCTGTATTACTGTCTTTTCCTTTTTTTTTTTGAACTAATTAATTTTGTTTGCCTTAACATTATTGTTGAGTTTGTTGATGGTACAGGTGGCCCTTCAAAATTTGTGACAGGCAAGGCAGGTTGTATTTCCTTGTCATGTTTTTCGGGGAGCTACTTGCCTCATCAGCAGCACTACTCACTTGTGTTTATTTCATTTTTACTTAAGATTCCCTTGTTTTGTTTTGTAATTTTTAATTTTTTTTTTTAATTTTTTTTTTTTGTACTTGTAGCTAAGAATTTTAATTCACTTTGAACGCACCAAATGATTTTGAGTGCCACCGAACTAAAGGTGTATGTTCTAATAAATGATTGATTGATTGATAACAGGATGGTG